GAGATACAGAGCCAGTTAAAAAAAACCATTGACTCCAATTAGGATATTCAATTGGAACCAATTCGAGCCAATGGAATTCAATCGGTTCTGGGTCATCCAACTGGTCATTCTAATTAGTTTCAATGTTTCCAATTGGTCACACCAATTAGGACCAACAAAATTCAATTGGCACTGGGCCACCTAATTGGTCACTCTAATTGGATTCAGTGTTTCCAACTGGTTACCCCAATTAGGACCAACAAAATTCAGTTGGCACTGGGTCAATTGGGATCAATAAAATTCAGTTGACACTGGGCCACCTAATTGGTCACTCAATTGGATTCAATGTTTCCAACTGGTCATCCCAATTAGGATCAATAAAATTCAGTTGGCACTGGGTCACCTAATTGGTCACTCTAATTGGATTCAATGTTTCCAACTTTATGTTTTCAGTGTTTCCAATTTTCAAGTTTCCAAAGATCGCAATTTCTTTTTTTTTCTTTTTTTTCAGTATTGCGTTGCAATAAATTTTTTTAACATCGCAATTTGAAAAGGGGAAAAAAAGTCGTACGCTGTTTAATAAAAAAAATAAAAACAAAACAAAAAAAAAAACGAAGAAAAAATACTGTTGCTAGAATTAGTCGGAATTGCCGGCAGCGTCGGTGTACACTGGGCGGCAAAGATGGCGTCGCGAGGACGGTGGATGCACTGATCTCTATGTCTATTTGCTGGATCGCGTTTGACCAGCTCCTCCTATGGACCGGAATGCGGTCACTGGCGGCCATCTTTAGGTAGAGTTATATCATCTCTAGCCATCATAGTAATATGGCGGACAGCGCAATGGCGGCAGGCTGCCATAAAAATAGCCATAGATCTAGTACACTGTACCGTGGGTGACATTTCGTGCTTGATTGAAGTTGTTCGACGAAGCAGATTCTTGAAACCCGGCGTGAACGGTAGCCTCATCTTTGAGGACCCGGCAAAAGTTCTACGAAAGCGCAGCACCGGGGGAAAGCAGCGCAGCTCGCATCAAAAGCAGACTCTGTACCGTCGTCTGCTTTCGATGCTTCTTTCGATGCGACTTTCGATACGTGCTGTGCTGCTTTTCTCCCGGTGCTGCGATTTCGTGAAACTTCTACCAGGTCCTCAAAAAGCGGACTACTGTTCACGCCGGGTTTTAAAAACATGTTTCGTCAAATAATTTTAATCAAGCAGGCAATATCACTCACGCTACTTTGACCGCAGCCTGCCAACCCACCTGCCAAAACGCTATCTGCCATGGATGGATGATAGCGGCTGCAGCAGCTTACATTGGCTAGAGGTGATATAACTCTACCTAAAGATGGCCGCCAGTGACCGCATTCGCGGAGCGGGCAAACGCGATCCAGCAATTGTCATAGAGATCAGTGGGTGGATGCATGAACCAGCCGAGGTTCGAGTTCGACCGGGTTCGACTTTTTCGAACCTGTAGTGGAAAATTCGACGAACCTTGTATTGAGGTTCGACTCGTGTGCGCATGCGCGACAGGCTGGCCAGTTGGCTTTGGATTGGATGGTAATGGCTATGGGGAGAATTAAGGGCAGCGCTGATTGGCTATTTCAGTTAATGCAGTACGAGAAGATTAAGTTATTAACTTCTTTAGTGATTAGAATTGGTTTCTTTTATTTTCAACTGTTCATAAAATAAAATAACCCTTTGCATAAAAAAAAACTTCTCCAAACCTAGACATGCTTGTATCAAGGTCTGGCCACAGTGTCCACAAAGTCGAACCGGTCAAATCTGGGGAAAAGTTCGGAGGTTCGTCGAACCGGTTCGACCCAGTCGAACCCCGAAAGTTCGACCTAAAAATCTGGTTCGACAAAAGTTCGCGACACCCCTATGCATGAGGCACATGGCGCCGATGGCGTGCACGGCATTCGTGGCATGGTTGGCATGGTTCTGGCAATGATTCAAGAAAGTTCTTTTTAGTGTTTTACTGCTGCAGAGTGCTCAATGGTGCGGTGATAATTACTTCATTTGACCTGCCAGCTTCTTAGAGCGCGAAGGATTGGCAACAAACGTTTATGGGAGCAAGGTAAGAAATTTTCTTTGTCCTTGCTGCGCTGCAATTTGGGGGTTTCGGATTGTTATACTTCGTTTCAGCTTCGGTCCAGACGCAGCCGATGCTACAATCGTGAGCATGTGGCCCAGAACAGTGCTTGCACTGCACCGGCGCGCGTGCTTGGCAGGGATGCTGAAAGCCCGCAGCTCGCGCTTGTAGCTTTGGCGGCGTCTGGAGCGAAGCTGAAACGAAGTATAGATCTGCTGAGACACTCGTTGCTTGATCTTCAGTGAACGATACGAGCGTGAATATATAGCTTTAGAGAAGAAAATTTTCCGGGCAGCTATCAGTTCGGAAGTTGTTGGGTATGCGCGAGGAAAGTTAAGTGCGTTTTAAGCATCTCAAAACTAAACTATGAATTGCTGAAAACACTGACTGGGCACAGTTTCAAAAATTGAAGCTTTGGGATTCAAAATTAAGCAATTTCGGGGGAATTTTCGATGAGTGGGAAGTGGGGTGGGGGGGTCGGTCGGTCGGTGATGTCGGGTCATTACCTCCAGAATTTGAGGACTTCTTAATAAAATAACAGTAGGTGCCGAAAATTTTGCATCTCATCCGGCGGACTATTTGCAGCTATGTTTCATAATTTACTCTGTCTCACTCAGGGTAAGTTCAAAAACCTACCCGCATCCAGCGTTGCCTCGGATCCCTTCGAGTAAGATTTGGAACACAGCCTACAATTCATGATTTCTTTTCGAGATATGAAAGACACTTATTTTTTCACCCATGTACACTTTAAGCATTTTTCAGGTGCACTGGCCAGAGATCAGAGATCCCTTTGAATTGACTGTTTTTTCTCCTTATAGCAAAGAATATGTCTCACAGGCTCATAGGAAACTTCGTAGTCTTAAACCATCCCAGATGCAAATTTAGCCCAGTCTCGGCAAAAGCTTCATCTCCTAATTTTGACCAGAGTGTTTCAGTCACCCAGGGATGTTTGCCTTTTAATGCAAGGCCTGCAGGTTTATACCACTGCAACTAATTTCTTTGCAGCGAAAAAAAAAAGTTTAGAATGTTTCTAAGCTTGATTTAAACATTTATAGTCCCATAAGGTCATTTAATGCATATTTATCCTTTATTTTAGGGAAGCTGCAGCTGCTATCCTGGAAGAAAACAACGATGCTAGAAGCAAGAAATCATTTTTAATAAGTTAAATAAAGACTCGTGATTATCTAAGTTTGATTTAGTTGCAACTTTTTTCTAGTTTGGAATATCCAAACACTAATAGTTGTCCCAATTCGTATCTGTCAATATGATTTGAACAGTTGGACCAATTGCTTTTTTCCTATTGGGAGTCCGAAAGCAGAAAAATGTTTTTCCAATTGGTTGCATCCTATTGACTATGCTGAACTGGTTCAAATTGGTGATGTTCAATTAGATTTCGACAATTGGAACCAATCGACTTTTTCTAACTAGGAGTCCGAAATCACAGATAGGATTCCCCATTGGTTCTAATTGTCGATAACTAATTAGAACCAATTGACTTCTTCTAACTAGGAGTCCGAAATCACAGATAGGATTCCCAATTGGTTCTAATTGTCGACAACTAATTGGAGCCAATTGACTTTTTCTAACTAGGAGTCCGAAATCACAGATAGGATTCCCCATTGGTTCTAATTGTCAATAACTAATTGGACCCAATGGTTATTTTTAACTGGGCATGAGCAAGCCGTTGTCGACCTTGGTGGCACACAATTTACCAACTTCGTCTGACGTGCCACAGAGTGTGATGGGTACAGCACAGACCCGTATCCATGTAGATGGCTACTTGGATAACGAGTACACCCTGTTTTCATACGTGCCTCTCTCTGTGATCTATGAGTGCCGATGTCACTTACTTAAACAATGGGTAGCTGGCATCGCCCCTCCTCCTTCTTCCTCCTCTTCCCCCTCCTCCTCCACCGCTTCCTCCTCCTCCTCCCACTTCCTCCTCCTCTTCCTCTCCTCCTCCTCCTCCTCCCCTAATGCAAACGTCCCATAATGCAACGTGCGGGTCACGAGTGAGATGCCCGCACTGCATTATGTGACATTTCCCATTATACACAGCGTGGTTACGGCGACGCCACTCAAGCCTGAAACGTGTGCCTAAGAGCTGCGCTCTAAAAGATTCAACAAAGAATTGCAGTCTTTAACTGCTTTGTTAATAGATGCATAATGCAAAAATTTAATGGTCCTTCAGTATCAAACTGAAAACATACTAGGTTACTGCCACTTCCCTAGCGGAGTTGAGAACGAACGATGCTGCCACGAGGACTAAAAGGGTTTGAGCCCACTTGGACCGGGTTCTTTTAGAGCACAGCTCTTAGGCGCCCATTCCCGGCTGAGCGGCATTGGCGTAACCGTGCAGTGCATTATAGGAAACGTCCCATGATGCACCGCGCCGAAACGTCACATGACTTCACCGAAACGTCACGTGACGACGCGCATTTCGCACGTGAAAGGAGGACGAGGAGGAGGAGAAGAAGAAGGTATGGATAAGGAGGAGGAGCATACCCTCCCCTCAGTACCCTCCCTTCTTCCTCCTCAAAAGCTGCTTTCTAAATCTGCGTTTGAGGAAGGGGGCGATGGAAGGATTTGTGTACTTTCAGTAAATAGTGCTTGGAAGTATTCCGTGACATTCATTACCTATGAGCCCCAAGTTTGACCTGGGTAACCATCCCCAAGATTTACTTGTACTGCTACAAAAATCTGCTTTTGTGGCTCCTGAGCCACTCCATAGCGGAACTTTTGCTGCTCTAAAGTGGCATCATTGTTGCTCCCACACCTTCTCAACGAAAAGATGAAGCTGGCTTCCATTCCTGGAAATGGCATCATCCATTTCCCCCCGAGTTGGGGTGCTGGAAGCTTCGAGATTTTCATGCGCTCGTTAAGACCTCAATTCTGGAAGGCGGCGGCTAACCTTGCGCCCTTTCATTTGCAGGCCTACATTCACAGCAGCAGCGGAGGCCAGCTGATCGTCGAGACCTACATCGTGATTGCCCTCAGTATCCTTTTTCCTGCATCTTGCATTGTCTATTCACGGGGTGCACCAACCTTTTGGCCGCTTTAAAAGAAGCCAGAAAAACCGTTGCCCTCAGCTGTAGTCGCTAACAGGAGAAGAAGAGCTCCAGTTGTCCCGCCTCCGGTACAAGCTTCCTACCTTGGACAATGCTTCGACGTCTCGTAAGCCACGAGCTTGCACGCTCGGTTAAATTGTGAAGAAAGGCAACGTACGCAGGCTGGGAATCCATGAGAGATGCTCCGTCACTCTCATTCTGTCAGTGGCTGCCGCTAGGCTCCGTTTCACTTTAGTCGCGAGCGTAGCAGAGGCTGTGAAAGTGAGCTGAGGGCTTTCAACATCCCTCACCAAGCATGTGCGCTCGTATCATGCGAGATCGGGGCAATGTGCTTGCACTTGTGACGTCTTCGCCTGGAACTATAGCTGAAACTTTCGTCAGAGGTATCTCGCAAAAAATGTGGGTTTACCCTGTGAAACTTTTCCCTGCAAAAATGTGCAGGCTTGAACCTTTCCCTGCATGACTGACACGGTAATTTCAATCGAAGCAAGTTCATGATTGACTTTGTCGACTATTCGCTGCAGTCGGGATACACATACATTTTTTTTAGTCTGGGTTATGTACGAAGAAATTAATTTGGATACAGAAGCCTCCGAACTCCAAGAAAATTTTTTTTGTGTGTGAAAACATAAATTTTATTTTTGTGGATACCATGCTTTAAATTCCTGGAATTTGTATAAAACCTATGCAGTTAAGAAAAACATGTTAAAAGAACGGTGTCTTACCACACAATATTGAAAGATGCCATTTTGAGTCCGAATAGGAGCTAAAAAAAAAAAAAATACTTTATAAGATTTTTTTTTTTTCTTTTACCGTGGAGCTGTTAAGGCCTAGTTTCCCCAGGATTGTGTCCCTCGCAAAGAAATGAAGACTCCAAACTCTGGACACCTACCGCCATCTATGAGCGACGGCGGCAAGCCACGTATCTGGTTGTCGCCGTCGCTCACAGATGGTGGCAGCTTTTCCACTCTGGCTTACCGACTTCTGGCCGGCCATTACTTTTCATTGTACAGCTCCGCTGGTCTTCCTTCTTCACCAGAGTGGAAAGGCTGAAAGTTTTTTTTAGTCAACTTGCATTTATGTGTTCGCTACAATACTTTTACTTTGTTCTCTTAAGACTAATAATTGAATTGCTTGTATTATATTTTCTTTATATATTGTTTATTATATTATATTATATCGTTGAGCTCTAACTAAATGTGAAAATCCCCAGTTTATGCACAAACGGTCATATAGAGACCCATAAGGAAAAGTTGTATTTTTGGCCCACAATGTGTGGAGAAACAAAAGCGATAGCTGCACGGTCGCGCAATGCGGGTGAGGTGGTGATGCCACGTACCTTACCTGGGTAAGCGCGATGGAAGTTTCTAAAACGATCTAACATTACGCGCAGCAACTGGATACTGCCAAAGTGGGATTTCGCATAATGCGAGGGACGTTTGAGAAAACGTTTTCAAGCAGACAACATGGAAGACTCCTTTCGTAGCACCGTAACTGGCGGGATGGCCGACAAGAAAACCCACTTCCCTGGCCTCGCGCCAAAAGTGGAGAGGGGTTTTTGCGTAGCGGCGACGACTGGGAGACAAGGTCGAAACCTTTGCAAAGTAATTAGACATGAGGAAGATACATAGAAAGGGGGGACGGACAACGAAGACTTCCAACTAGCAACAACATTTATTGACCCGAGGTTTGCATATATAGGTGAAGGAGGGGAGGGTGAAAGACGCTACACTGGAAAGTGGAAAAGCGATGGGAGAGAGTGTAGAGCCAGGGAAATGAGGGACGATCCCGTGGGGTAGACATCTAATCGCTCGGAGCCGCTGAAACGAGGGACGTCAGCTCTGGCCCCAGGAAGTTTATCTCCCCCCTGGATAAGCCTATGGACGGGGATCCGAAATTGTTGTGACTGTAGTGCATGGCGAAGGCCTCCATGATCTCTCGTCCGTATCTTGAGGCGTGACCTCCAATCCTGGTGGTCGAGGGAAGGTCGGCCGAACAGGGTTCGCTGCACTCAGAGGTGTGTTTGGCAATCGGGTGGTAACAAATCTCCGAAGTGTCGGAAGCGGCTTTCTTGATCTCGTTTGCATGTTCCCTCACCCGATCGTTTAGGCATCGGCCCGTCTGTCCGATGTTTTTAGCACCGCAGGACATGGGAATCGAATACACGCACTCTTTGCAGCAGGTTACATATTTGGTCTGGTGCTTTTTCTGGCACGGGGGCGCTGGACCGGGGTTGTTGACCTTTCTACAAATAGAAGCTAATTTGAACTTGCAGGAAAATACAACGTTGGTGTTGAAGCCGAGCGCAATAGATTTCAGGCGATGTGAGGTGTTGTGTATGTAGGGGATGCACGCGAAGCGTGACTTAGGAGGGAGGGGTTTGGACTTCTGCTCCGCGACAAGTCTTTTGATTGTTGTTTCAATCAGGTCTCTCGGGTATCCTGCCTTTATGAGGCGACTAATCTGCTTGGATAGGCTGGGGGCGGAAAGGTGCTGACAGGATTTAACCTTTGCCGAAGCAACTAGATTTCGAACGATCCCATTTTTTACATTCCTTGAGTGTGAGCTGTTGAAAGGAAGAACGGGCTTAGAGGACCTCTGCTGGTGAGCCCAGCAGATACCTTTGCTAGTTGGGACCAACCTGAGATCCAGGAACTGTAAGCCCTCAGGGGAGGGGGCCTCTTTGGTGAACGTAAGCCCATGTGAGTTCTTCTGGAACACGGTCTCTATGGCTGCAGAGTCGGAGATGGTGGAGTGTAGGATGAGATAATCGTCAACATAACGAAAAACCTTTGCATCGGGAAAATCTCGTTGAAGGTCCGCCTGAACTTTGGCGTCAACATAAAACAGGTAAATTTCGCAGAGGACGGGAGCCAAGCAAGACCCGATACAAACGCCGGCCCTTTGTATGTACACTTTACCCTCATATTCAACAAGCGTTGATTGGAGATACAGTTGTGTCAATTCGAGAAATGAGGACAGCGAGACGCCACATGAATTTTGAAAGTCTATGACACCTGTCTCGTGGATGGCGTCAGAAATGAAGCTCAGGAGGGTCTTCACGTTTAGGCTATAGTAGAGATCTACAACATTGAGCGAGAACACTCTTACGGCTTCAGTGCCGGCGTGTAACTCGTCCAGCACGGGAAGGAGATCTTCCGAATTTCTTAGTCTGAAAGGTTGGGGGAGCTCTAACGTGCCGAGATGTTCCTGCAGAAACTTCGCCAAAGGCCTCTGCCAACACCCCGTCTCGGATACAATGCTGCGGAACGGCACGCCTGGTTTGTGGGTTTTAGCAGAAAAGAAAATAGAGAGGTATTGCTTCGCTGGGGCAAGAACGGCACTTTTTAAAGAAGGGAGGTTAGATGAATCGCACATTGCCTTCACCCTGGACCTGAGGGATCCGGATGGCCGCGTTTTGAGGCCGCTAAAGTTCTTCTTTAGGGCCTCGTCGGATTTCTCTTGCATTTGTTGTTTGTTCAGGATGACGAACTGACCAGGACAGCCAAAAACGCCTCTACGCCAGTCATCAAAGAACTTCAGGCCGGTGAGCTGAGTTTACTTCAAGCTGACAAAACGGGTCAGTTCCTCATCCTGAACAAACAACAAATGCAAGAGAAATCCGACGAGGCCCTAAAGAAGAACTTTAGCGGCCTCAAAACGCGGCCATCCGGATCCCTCAGGTCCAGGGTGAAGGCAATGTGCGATTCATCTAACCTCCCTTCTTTAAAAAGTGCCGTTCTTGCCCCAGCGAAGCAATACCTCTCTATTTTCTTTTCTGCTAAAACCCACAAACCAGGCGAACCGTTCCGCAGCATTGTATCCGAGACGGGGTGTTGGCAGAGGCCTTTGGCGAAGTTTCTGCAGGAACATCTCGTTACGTTAGAGCTCCCCCAACCTTTCAGACTAAGAAATTCGGAAGATCTCCTTCCCGTGCTGGACGAGTTACACGCCGGCACTGAAGCTGTAAGAGTGTTCTCGCTCGATGTTGTAGATCTCTACTATAGCCTAAACGTGAAGACCCTCCTGGGCTTCATTTCTGACGCCATCCACGAGACAGGTGTCATAGACTTTCAAAATTCATGTGGCGTCTCGCTGTCCTCATTTCTCGAATTGACACAACTGTATCTCCAATCAACGCTTGTTGAATATGAGGGTAAAGTGTACATACAAAGGGCCGGCGTTTGTATCGGGTCTTGCTTGGCTCCCGTCCTCAGCGAAATTTACCTGTTTTATGTTGACGCCAAAGTTCAGGCGGACCTTCAACGAGATTTTCCCGGTGCGAAGGTTTTTCGTTATGTTGACGATTATCTCATCCTACACTCCACCATCTCCGACTCTGCAGCCATAGAGACCGTGTTCCAGAAGAACTCACATGGGCTTACGTTCACCAAAGAGGCCCCCTCCCCTGAGGGCTTACAGTTCCTGGATCTCAGGTTGGTCCCAACTAGCAAAGGTATCTGCTGGGCTCACCAGCAGAGGTCCTCTAAGCCCGTTCTTCCTTTCAACAGCTCACACTCAAGGAATGTAAAAAATGGGATCGTTCGAAATCTAGTTGCTTCGGCAAAGGTTAAATCCTGTCAGCACCTTTCCGCCCCCAGCCTATCCAAGCAGATTAGTCGCCTCATAAAGGCAGGATACCCGAGAGACCTGATTGAAACAACAATCAAAAGACTTGTCGCGGGGCAGAAGTCCAAACCCCTCCCTCCTAAGTCGCGCTTCGCGTGCATCCCCTACATACACAACACCTCACATCGCCTGAAATCTATTGCGCTCGGCTTCAACACCAACGTTGTATTTTCCTGCAAGTTCAAATTAGCTTCTATTTGTAGAAAGGTCAACAACCCCGGTCCAGCGCCCCCGTGCCAGAAAAAGCACCAGACCAATTATGTAACCTGCTGCAAAGAGTGCGTGTATTCGATTCCCATGTCCTGCGGTGCTAAATACATCGGACAGACGGGCCGATGCCTAAACGATCGGGTGAGGGAACATGCAAACGAGATCAAGAAAGCCGCTTCCGACACTTCAGAGATTTGTTACCACCCGATTGCCAAACACACCTCTGAGTGCAGCGAACCCTGTTCGGCCGACCTTCCCTCGACCACCAGGATTGGAGGTCACGCCTCAAGATACGGACGAGAGATCATGGAGGCCTTCGCCATGCACTGCAGTCACAACAACTTCGGATCCCCGTCCATAGGCTTATCCAGGAGGGAGATAAACTTCCTGGGGCCAGAGCTGACGTCCCTCGTTTCAGCGGCTCCGAGCGATTAGATGTCTACCCCACGGGATCGTCCCTCATTTCCCTGGCTCTACACTCTCTCCCATCGCTTTTCCACTTTCCAGTGTAGCGTCTTTCACCCTCCCCTCCTTCACCTATATATGCAAACTTCGGGTCAATAAATGTTGTTGCTAGTTGGAAGTCTTCGTTGTCCGTCCCCCCTTTCTTTGTATCTTCCTCATGTCTAATTACCGTTACCAACACGCTCGTTTTGTACCTTTGCAAAGTGTTCCCCGTAAAGCTATCACTCTAAAAGCAATGTTGGGTTATTGCTCCGAATATGGCCGTGTCTGCGTAAGCTGGAGATTTTGTTGTTTAGTAAAATGCAACGAAACCAGGCTTTCAAAATTTAATACAAGCAATTCAATTATTAATCTTAAGAGAACAAAGACAGAAGTATTTCATCTGACACTCAAATGCAGGTTGACAAAGAAAGCAAATAAATCTCATAAAGTCCCTTCTTTAATGTAACATAGGGCACATTAGGTAATTAGGCACCCACCTAAATTTATGTGGTAAGCAACTGTTTTTTAAGAATGTTTTTCTTAATTTAAAAGGGTTTATGCAAATTCTAGAAATTTAAAGCATGACATCAGCAAAAATAAAATAATTTCAGAGGTTTTTTTATCCAAGTTAATTGTTTCATACATATCTCAGAGCTGAAAAAATTGCTGCGTTTTCTTGGGCATTGAGTAACCCTGTGGTCGTTGTGCCACGGGGGCGTGCCATATTCCTTGACAGACTTCACTCCAGACGTTGCTGTCGTCTTCGGCATGATTCTCATGAACGACGCCGCAGAGTCGAAGGGTGACCCGAAGAAGCGCAAAAGTGAGTATTTCGGGGTCTTGAGGGCTCCTAAACTTTCCACTCTTGAGGAATGCCCATCTCTCTCAACAACTAACCGACAAACTCGTCCTGGTCACAGTATCGGTGCAGTAAGGGGGGATGCTGGTCTTTAACTGTCTGTTGTTTAGTTTTCAATCATCGTGTTGAAATTTAGTAGACTGATGCATTTCTGAGTGGTGATTTCAAATATGCATCTAGTTTTCAGATAGCTTTACTAGATCCTGACTTATCAATAGTTTTTGTAATTTTAATTCGGTCTTCTTTTCGGGTCATTATCGTAAATATTCAGAATTTATCAGAAATGTTTATAGGATTGCATTCCTCAAGACATGCTTTGTGCGGTGATACCGTTTTTTTTGCTTTATATGTCGTACAATAATTTTAATTAATTAGTCTCAAAAAGACATAACCTCCCGTTTTGTGCCACTTGATTGCAAATCTTTTTTACCATTGTAATATCGTTAAATCAGGCTTAAAATAGCACCACTGCACAAAACATGTCTTGAAGAATGCATTCTACGAAAACTTGCGATATATTCTGAAGAATTTTATGCAAGCGAATCCGTAAGGAGGACCTAATGAAATTACAAATTTATTGATAACTCGGGACCTAGTAAAGCTATTCGAAAACTAATTGCCTATTTAGAATCGCCTCTGAGAAATGCATTAGTATACTGAATTGCAACACAATAAATGAAAAACAAAAAGTTGAAGACCAGCATCCCCTCTAAAGCAGTGCAGAAGCCTGTAGACTTCATAAACAATGACGCCCACGCCAGGGAGAGTTTATTGCATGCTTATGCATGCGTAGACGGCTCGGGTCCTCTAAATTAATGCTTAATTTGGAAGAGCACTTCAACTAGGAGCAGGGTTTTTTGAGGGAACGTAAAACGTCAAGGAGCCCCTAGGGTATTTCGGGGAACCCGGGTGCCTGGAAACCCAGTTTGAGAACAGTCGGTCATTTCAACAGCTTGAACTTCCCGAATCTTGTCAGAACGTGCGAATGTTGCGATCGAGTGACCCACCTGAGCTTCTTTTATGCTGTTCCTCCGAATTTTAAGACCTAGACAGAATGTGTACCCCGTAGAAAGGGGCCAAGCAGAAGCTGCGGAAGGCGTGCACCGAGACGGTGGCACCACGGTGCGGCTGCTAGCAGAAGGATTTTGTATAGACCACGGCCGCACCGGCATAGATAGCCTGCGCAGCAGCAAACATTTCTGATCTATGTCAGCTTGCCTAACAACATCGACATACAAACGTTCAAGGCCACAGTTGGCGCTAACTTTTTATGCAAGGCCCGGAAATTGAGAATACAAATTTCCTCCTTGCGATGTCGAAAAGTGCCGCTATCATCTCAATCTCAGGTACGTCTACTCGATCCGCCGGCGAGCTAAGAGCAATCTGTTAATAAGAGGAACAAAAGATACTTCTCCTGCTGATTCTTTTCACTTACTTTCATTGATTGAAACAAGTTTACATTAAAGCGTGCACGATCCTTTTAATTCAACCATTCAAATAAAACTTGCGCGTGCTATGTATTTTTGTACTATTGACGTCTTAAATGAATGTTTCCCTAGTTGCTCGAAATTCAAGTTTGAATAGGTGCTACAATGCCTTTGAAGCGATGCGCCTTGTTTCAAAAAGAGAGATTTCAAATTCGTAGTGCTCTAGTCACTGGCAGAAATGCGGGGCCCGACGACTACCGAGTATGTTATTATTACACCGAAGCCAACGAGGCTGCTTAGTCAATGAGAATGCCAAAGGTTGAATCTCGTAAGAAGATTAAGCCATGTCCTGCGTTTCCTAAGCTCTCACTGACTAGAGTACTTCGATTTTAGGAATTTGACGTGTTGAACTCATTTTCGCTGCGGCAATGGCACTAACGATCTTCTTGTCTTTTCAGTCATGGCTGTTGTGGGGCTACTCCTGATGTCCGTCTTCTTCAGCTTCCTCCTCTCCATCTTCCGCTCCAAAGCGCACGGCTACCCCTACAGGTAAGCTGAGAAAAGACGCGACCATCCTGAGTGCGGTAAACACAGATTGTCTCGCACGTGCATGCACGTTTGCCACAAAGCAATGCAGTTTGCCCGAAGTTAGTGCATTGCCGCCGTTGCTGCCATTGCTCATCAACACGGCCTCTCTTATCCATTTCCTCCGCTGTCGGGCCGCAAATTCTCGTATAACTTCCCCTAACCTGAGCTATCATTTGTGGTAACATCCAAAAATTGTTTATGCATCCCTCTCTGCATGACTATTCGACGGATCTTCGGGTCGGTATCGGCTTAATTTGTGTTGCTTTGGTTCTTAGGGGCTGCTTTACTCTTTTTGCAAGCCTGTCCGAATTCCTTAAAAATTTCTTTTGAGGCTCCACTTTGCTATAGCTTTCTAACTCCGCGCTCCCGATTGGTTCAATTGAAATTTTCTGCTTGCACACTTCATTGCATCCTGCTTGCTTCGTCGCACTCTGCTTTTTATACACTTGCTCTTCCGTTTGAGTGACTTCCTTGTCTCAACTTGCATTCTTTCGTGAGCCTCCGCACCCCCTTGGCAAGTATAGAAGCCGTACGTCTCGTGTTACGAAGCTGCAGTCAGTCTAACACAGTTTATTCATCTTCACCGACTCACGTTTAGCTCACTGATCCATCTTGATACTGATTTCCACCTCCCGTCCCGTTTTCCCCGTGTCCTGTTTCAGTTTCCTGTTCAAGTGAGCGGTTCAGAAAATGCCTCCCGGATCGCTCGAAAGTCGCCGAAACGACAGCACCTTGGTTCGCTTGTCACGGGAAGATCACTTTTGGAAGTCCTTGTCCTTTCTCTCTTCCCAGCACATCCGTCCCCAAACCTTCCTTTCATGTTTGTTTCACTGTACATAGAAGTTAGGCCTTTCTAGGCCTTTTTAGGCCTAACTAGTTGAGCCTTTATTTTTTTCATTTTTGTTGATACTGCTTGAATTGTTTCGGTTCTTTTTTCATTTTTACTTTTTCAATAAAGGAGTCTGGAAGAAAACGATACATGGGAGCTACACTTGTCCGTGCATCCTCTTAGTTTCTGTATAGTAACTCACAGATGTGTAATCACTCACACAATGAGGACGGCAGGGTACCTTCTTTAGAGGGGCATTCTCGAAACTGGCACTGGAAGTAGAACAATTGAAAGACCTCTCTACCTTTGTCATCCTGTGCATTACTATTGTACATGATTGGCTTTACTTGGCGTTCTTTTGCTGTCGCTGGGCCCATGACGTCTGACCGAGGAGTCGAAGGAATTTTGGTGATGAGATAAATTGGTGAAATTTAGATACTATGTTTACTAGAAGGCAATGAATAAATTTTTTTGGACTTGGTTTCGACAACAGGCTTGCCATATTAATAATATTTTGGTAACGTAAGTGGGCTTTGTAGTTCTGGGTAATTACTGAGACACAAAGAAATATGCATTAAAAAAATTAAACAATCTCGCGAGTCGTTTAGCATTTATGATTATTTTGAGGAATATGGATACTATAGATTATCTGATTATTCTGCCTTTTTGAGGGTATGTGCGCTCCTAAATGCATAAGAAATCAAAGCTGCTTGCTTATTTACATATTTTATTTGTATCAGTTTTATATGCTGGAGTAGGCGCTAGGTCTTGTTTCATAAAGGCATTGACTATTTCAACATCCACCGTCAAAATATCTCAAACATTATTTTGACATCTATGATATCACTTCCTTAAAAAAATCGAAATAAGTGTCTTTATTGTTCCGACATCCCTCGTTAAATCAGCTGTCTTCAGGAAGTAACATTGCGGACATCAATACATGTTATATTATTTTGTGAGAACACAGAAATAGCCACGGCCTTTAATCAACATAACCTAACTAGAATGGGATTTAAGGGAGTTATCCTGTCTTTGGAGGACATCGAGCAAAAGTTTGATGGCCACTGATTTGCCTTAAAATTGGTTCAACATATGTTACTAGAAGATCAGCTAGCAACTCAAGTTACAATTTTCATTGAACGATTTTTTTGCGAAGTAATTGAATTTTTAAATTGAGGCTAAGAGGCTTGTTAGCAAAACTGAAAACAAGCTCTACAACCTCCATATTATTAAATTTACAAGATTATAGATTTAGCAATATGGGGGATGTACAGCTTGTCACAGACGGGTTACGAGAAGTTCATTAGTGTGGTATGAATGCTTAAAAATTCGTGCCAGCAACACAAACTCGCAAAATACGGGGTTTCCTAGACTGCCAGCTCGACTTGCAGGCTGCAGAATGTCACCCCACTGGACAGTGGAGAAACATTTAGTTGGTTTTGGCATAACCTCCATTTGAGGCATTAAATAGCATGCCAAAAAGAGTAAAGCCTGTGTGTTCTGAAAACAAAAGAAAAGCGCAAATAAAACGAGGACAATAAGGGCACAAGGACGACAGGATAGGCGCTTTCAACTGATTTTATTAGAAACCATCGTCACTTATATACGCACTCATCTGCCCGACTTGTATAACAACCAATCCCAATCTTACAGGCAGCCATCCAGAAAGGTCGCTTCTTTTTGAAACTGGTAAAGACAATGCGCTAACGCATTTCTTTTCTTTTTTTATATAAAACGCCCCTACAATCTCTCTACGAATACTTGAAAGCAGAGATGGCAAAATTACTTTCAAAAAGTACTAGATTACCTCCCAAATAGGCTCCACGTTCATCCACCGAGTGCACATTGAAAGATCGTTTAATTAGCTTTAAAATTAGTTTTCTTTTGTCTTTCAACGAAAGACTGGTATTTTTGAGGTTGTGCTGCAACATGCAACACATTAAAGCTAAAAAATGAGCGCTGGAATTTTGTTTCCAGGAATCTGTCAAAGGGAATAGAGTGTTTCGAAGTTCGTGGACGACATCTCTTCCTAAAAAGCATTGGTACAACTTATAATAATTCGCCGCAGTCGCTAAAACAACATCCAGAGAAACGGCTTGTAGAATAAATGTTATCGCTTCTCTACATAGCACCACTCAGGACGAAGCGAGTCGAGGCAGTTTCTCCACTTTAAAAGAGTTATTTTGCTTTTCTTTATTAATAGTTGACTAGTTTAATATGGTTATTGAAGTCACTATAATCACTTCATAACGGCAGGGTGTGCCTTTCGAACGCCTGGCGTCCACCACGCGCCCATGCCTTCCGTCGTGCTTTGACTGCACGCGCGCGGTCGAGGTGCACAAACGCCGAAGCGTTGTCAAGGGCAGTAGGCTCGCGCTGGAGGCGGGACAACAGAAAAAAATCAACGTAAAGTGTATAGAAAGTCAACAGCTTTTCTTTTGACTCGGGCTGAAGATAATCATCAGAAAAGTTTCAACACAAAATGAACAAACTTTCCGTTGACCATGTCAACAGGAAGTCAGAGTCAAAATAAAGTAATCAGAGTCAACAAGAAGTAAGCACGTTTTCAATAAAAAGTCAGACATAATTTTTATAGCGGTGCAAGCATGTGAAGCGTGCGCGTGAATGTAGCTTTGGAAGGTTTGAAATCGCACATGCTCGCACGATCGGGAACACGGCGGCGGCGAGATGCCTTGTTTGCATTCGTCGTGAGCGATCGAAAGCGTCGCTGCGGTCGACCTGCCACGATTGACCGAATGCCGACTATGACGTCAGCTAAAGATTTCTCATCGGCGGAAATAAGATTAATGTACCACCTTCACTGATTTTGACGGTGTTGGTTTCAGAGCGCAATGATTTCAAGCAGGGATGGGCCAAATACATGCAAATGTGTATCGAAATACAAATACAAAATACTTCGTCAAAAATGTATTTAATTACAAATCTAATTACATTTCCAAAAAAAAGCATTTAAGTACAAAATACAAATACAACGAAATGTATTTGGTCTCCTCCAAATACTTTTGCAAATACATTCATCAAAATTTGCGTCAGCGACTTCAGGGCACCTGCAACGGTTTTCTGGGTTTCTCATTTTAATTTTGGATCGCACACTCGGGAGTTAGTGTGCGAGGCTCTATAGTCAGTTACAGGTTAAGAAGGTAGCGGCAAATGCCCCTCAAAGGGAATCAGATATCCCTCCGCCACCTTTGCATCCAATAGCGTCCCACCGTTTCCGTGACGTCCCGGACAACGCGCGAGGAGGGTCTTGCCTTTCTGTACATATTTGCTTTATCTTTCGTCTTTGACTTAGCACTGTGGAAGCCACGAGAGGGAGATTAGAGTTCTCCCCCACCGACGGAAACAAATACGACTTTCGGGGATTAGCTTCCCCCCCGGATGGATACAAAGGCTGCTTTCAGGGGCTCGGTTCCCTCTCCGATGAATACAAAGGTCGCTTTCTTAAAAAGTGGGATCGGAGACAAGTGGGAATCCATTGAAGCGGAACAAGGAGCGTTTCCAGTGAACTCTTCTTTCGACTGCGGAGAGATTTGAAACGGGCGCATCACACTTGTGGGAGGAGCTTCTCCTACCTTCTTGACTTGTAACCGACTATAGTAAGGTAATTGAAATATAATCACAAAAAAAAAAAATGTAATCAGCTTGGACGTAATAGTTGAAAAAAGTACAGAGCTTCACGCAGCTTTTTTTGTCGATTACATTTTTGTATATTGTTGTATATTGTATATGTTGGTATTGTTATGCAAATCGGAGGTATTTGTTTTTTAATCATGAATCCCGGCTTTTGGAACATTTTTGCATCTAGACGACCAAGACACGCAGCACAAGCTAGATAATTTTTTATTGTTGCAACACGCACCAGTTACGAACATCTGAACGACCCGCGCATTTAGAATGCTCCAGGCAAAAATATGGATGGAAATCAGGTTGGAAAGCATCACAAGTTGTCACAGATACTTAATTAGCCAGTCTGCCTGTGAACGTCGATTTCGTCACTATTCTTGACCTGGACTAGCACCGCAATCACAAAGTCACTAAACGCTTGTGCTTGATAGAGAGACACTGCATTCGGTGCAGAACGTAGTTTTCTTCCTGCTCTGGACAGTGACCATAAAGTTGAGCGATGTATTTTCGCCCACAAAATTGTACTTGATTACAATTGTATTTCAAATGCCCACGTTTTAGTATTTAAATACACACGTCAAATACATTACGCAATTTGTAATTAAATACAAATGCAAAATACACAAAGTATTTGAAATACGTATTTCAAATACTGCCCATCCCTGATTTCAAGCTTCCAGCATGCTAATTACAAGCACCATCAAACTTGTTTCGCAATGTGATGACGACACGAGAGCGAACCATAGGAGGGCGCCACCAAAACATCTCGCCGCCAATAAATGACCCCCAACGAATTCCCAATCGAAGCAAAAGACAAAAAAGCCTGTCGTGTTCGCGTGGTGTGTTCACACGAGGGAGAAATCCCGGGGATTTCCCCCCGGCACGCGCACATCACGAGATGAAAACGCGAGGCTTTTGCACATCGCAAAGCCTGACGTTTTCGTCGTGGAATGCGCGTGCCGGGGAGAAATCCCCGGGATTTCTCCCACGTGTGAATACCCCTTAGCCATGTCTACACTGTAGCCATGTCCCTATGTCCGTCCGCCGTCGGGTGCACGTGCTCCTGCTCGTGTAGGAAAAAAAAAAACCAAAAAAACAAAAACGCATGTTTACGTGGTGAATGATGTTGATTGGGGCGAAGCTCTGGTGGTGCTTGTCTGCGTAGACGGTGAGCCGCAGCATGCCGAGCCTTTCGTTCGTTTTCATCCAAGAAAGAAAACGTATGGTATGGAACGTGGTTATACACGCATTTGAGCATTTGACCGCAGCGTGACATGGATGAAAACGAATGAAAGGCTCGGCATGCTGCGGCTCGGCGTCTACGCAGACAAGCACCACCACAGCTTCGCCCCAATCAACATCAATCACCACGTGGAGATGCGATTTTTTTTTTTTTTTTTTGCTTGAACAGCTGGTTTTGTTTTAATTTTCACTATTGAATCATACCTACGTTTGTGGCTATTGAATTAGATTGTGAATCATTCTATGATTAATATTATTTTCG